CCCTAACAGCAGAAAGACTGGGAATGACTGGTCACTATGACACACACTGACCATCAGGGGGCAGATGCTCAATGCAGGAGCTGCCCCCTGGTGGTCAGTGCGCTCCCACAGGGGGAGCTCTGCTCAGCCATGAGCCAGGCTGATGGCTGCCAGCACAGTGGTGGTGGTGGGAGCCTCTCCCACCTCCTCAGCAGTGCTAAGGATGTCCGACTGCAGCTTAGGCCTGCTCCTGCTGGCAAGTGGACATCCCCCGAGAGCTCCCAGGCTGCCAGAGGGATGTCTGACTGCCAGCTTAGGCCCAAACCCCCAGGGATCGGACCTAAGCCAGCAGGTGGTCATCCCCCAAGGCATCCCAGACTGCGAGAGGGCACAGGCTGGGCTGAGGGACCCCCCACAAGTGCACAAATTTTTGTGCACCAGGCCTCTAGTCATTATATAAAATAGTGAAAACATCCTTTCAAAGATTCTACTATCCAATTTTCCTTTCTTGTCCCAGATCAACTGCCGGAAGCCAGTCCATCCTTGCTGCTTGACACAGTCGCTGCAGGAAAGAAACATCTGCACAGCATATGTTTCAGGGACCTGGCCATATATAGCATATTGTTCTTAATAGGTTTGCTCTCCTTAGTGCCATGTGTCTTAACCAAGGTCACCTCTCTGAGAAAGGTTGTTTCCCCAGGTGGGGATTTTTCCCCGAGGTTAGGGAGGGGATACAACCCCTTAATTAAGTGCCAGGCGGGTAGTTAAGCTACATAATCTTTACTCCCTGGAATGGAGATAAGAAACGCCCTAACCTTTGTAATAGAAATTGACAGGATTAAAATCGGCTGGTATAAATATAGATGTAACAAGACAATAAACATCAGATCCTAATCAGTTCCTAACCAGAACTCCGACCAGAACTTTGGCTGGAGATCCTGGCTAGAGGTCCTGACTAGGCTGCTGATCAACTGAAGGCTGTCTCCGTGTCATTCCTTCTTCGCCGACTCCGTCCATACCTTTGGGGACCTCTGGACCTGCTGGGGTTGGACCCCAGCAATCAACAACTGTGTATCTCACTCCATGCTGGGAATGAACATCATTACCTTCTCAGACTTAAGCAAATAATGAGAGTGATAACAAACTTCTCTTAAAACTTGCTGTTTCTACCTAGGGTGAAGAATCATCCCAAATGGTTATACATTTTCAGACACAGACACCTGAAAGCTGCACTACAAGGCTGATTTGTGAGGTGAAGTATCTGAGCAAGTAAATACACTTGGGCAGAAGAAAAGGTGAGTAGGGGAAAGAAACAACTCAGGGTTGTTGGATTGGAGTTGAGACATATCAGATGGGGAGATGGGTAAATACATAAGGTTAATTTGAATGAAATGGCAATAAAGAATGAGCTAATAGCAAAGGTACCAGTTTGCAGGTAGAAATTTGAGACTTAAATAGGTAGGGGGAGGGTCCTGGCAGAGTCACAAAAAACCTGCCAATTCATATTTCAGTGATGCAACATGACTGAAAAATAGTTCTTTGTTCAGCATTTTATAAGAAAATCATGTGTTATATTTTCTGCAAATACAATAACTTGTAAAGTTCTCAGACACATCCTTTACAACTCTCATAGGTTGGTCAGTTAGTATAGTACACAGTACAAACTCAGTTAAGTGTTGGCTGTGCGAATTTATAATAGAGCGTGTACAATTCAGGGGTCCTCAAACTTTTTAAACAGGGGGCCAGTTCACTGTCCCTCAGACCATTGGAGGGCCGGACTATAGTTTAAAAAAAAACTAGTCGGCTGCTAAGCAACAGGCAGCGGCGGCAAAAACACCCGGTGGGCCGGATAAATGTTTTCGGCAGGCCGCATGTGGCCCACGGGCCATAGTTTGAGGACCCCTGGTGTACATATTTGTTTAGGAATAATTACTTTAAGGTTAAAAGATATTAATTTTTAGTTTATGCCAGGTTTGAAGAAAGATTCATTTCATTCCTAAGCAAACTTTTTAAAGTAAAAACAAACAAGACTTCCTTAAAATGGAGTCTGATTTAAATGGTAGATTTAAGTAGTAACTGTCCCTTAACCACTCAGGTCACCATAGCTATAAGGCAATGGGTAACCAAGTTTTCTTCAACCTACAACCTAATTAGCTCCTAAGTGGCAGAAACAAATTTAGGATAGGTCTAAAGAAACTCATTTTAGGAGAGGGCCAACTTCTATGCAGGTCAAAAATTAACTTTTAGAGAAAAAAACCTATCAATCACAATATATTGGGCCAATTTAAACACCATGATCAATAGTAAAAATTCCTAAGTCTTACTAGATGCTGCTCCACCCATTCCAGGGAATATTAATCCAAATCCCAAAGTTATACCACCAAATGTTGCAGCCAAAATTGTTGGGTCATGCACTGCAGAGAAGAACATATTACCTATTATACTTTTAATAAAAAAGTGAGAAATTTATATAGTCTTTTTCATCTGAAGAGACCTTTAGAAGCTTTTGGCTAAACTTCAAAAAACTATGGTCAATCCATTTATATGAAATATCCAAAAAAGGCAAATCTATGGATACAGAAAATAGATTAGCTGATGTCTGGGGATGAGCAATCTTTTTGGGGTGATACAAATGTTCTAAAACTGGATTATAGTGAGAATTACACAATCAATAAATATTAAAAACACTGAATTATACACTTAAATTAATTTTATATGTAGTTATACTTCATTAAAATTAAGTTTAAAAAAGTACAGTGGTCGAGATTTCATTTTGTAGGCAAAGGCACCAAAGACAGAAAGGAGAAAAGCCTGTTAAAGGTAACAGGGAAAGTCTTTGATTGAAAATGGAATTCATTCAATAATTTTAACTCCCAACTTGAGATATGGTGATATTCAAGAAATCTATTGTTGTTGAGAGGGATATTGCTTACATATATCAAAAGCTTTCCAGAATCTCAGTCATGTCTCAAAATTGGAAGTCTACTTTGTAGAAAACACAACTCAAATGGTAACCAACAATTTTAACTAATGTTTATCTATGCCAGTTGCACAAGAGGGATGGTACGCCACTATTTTTCATGCTTGACGAGGCATCAGCAATTTCTGGCAAGTTTTATTACTGGGAATGGTGACAATCTTGCTATAATAGGACTTTGGGGAAAACATATTACAGCTAGGACTACAATAACAAAAACTAATGATGAACATCATGGCCCTGGGAAGATGCCTCAAAAGCACAGTCAGCTTATTGACCTATAAAAAAGAATTGCCTGACATATATATGGAGTTCAATATTCTCAACATTTGCTATTACTCTATTAATGGATGATGTGTAGCAAAGATGTTGGGATTACGAGATAATTAATGTCTCACTTTTCAGCTCAAAGAGTCCAGATGTTACCTTCAAAAGGAGAGGCCATGAGACATCACACAGTGTCAATTAAAACCCAAAACCACAGCTGGTCCTTTTGTCATGTAACACTTCTGATAGGTAAAAAGTAAAGACCATAAACCTGGTCTATATAGAATACACTATAGCAAGGCTCCAACATTTATTTTCTTATGTTATCTTACTCACATGGATAATAAGGCTTCTTCCCTTTAGACATACTTGGCAATACGCCCAACTCTTCCTATTCACATTAGCTGCAAGAAGTTGTTTCTAGACATTATGATGTTAATGAATTATATGCTTAAATGATCACTTTAAGCTGTAATAATCATGTTAATATAAAATTCACAACTAATTTTAAATTCACAGCAATTCAGTTCTTTAAGAAAGCTACTATTAATATTAGCAGTTACAGATGGGGCCAAGTATAATGATAATTTATAAGATGCAGGGGATCCATATTTATATTAGAAAATTGAGTTAAGTGGCCTGATGCAAAATAATATTTTCTTTGTAACCAGTAACTTACATGAGAACCAAGTAGCAGCAGAAGTGGAAAAATTTGATATTGATGTATACGGCATGGTGCTCGAACTAGTAGTAGTGTCAACACTAGATGCTGGAGTCAAACCTTAAAAAACAAGTAAAAATCATACAAATATGTCACATTGAAAACTACAAGACATTTTTGAAGGAAATTGAAGAACACACAAAGAAATGAAAATATATTTCATGTTTATGGACTGGAAGAATTAACATTGTCACAATGTCCATATTACCTAATGCAACCTATTGATTCAATGCAATCCCTATCAAAATCCCAATGGCATTTTTCACAGAAATAGAACAAAAAAATTCTCTAATTTGTATGGAATCACAAAAGACCCCAAATAGCCAAAGCAATCCTGAAAAAAAAACCACAACAAAAACAACAAATAACAAAACCAGAAGTATCATACTCCCCAGTGTGGTATTCACAGAAAAACAGACACACAGACCAATGGAACAGAATTGAGAACCCAGAAATAAACCTACACATAAATAAGCAACTAATTTACAACAAAGGAGCCATGAATATGCAATGGAGAAAGAAAAGTCTCTTCAATAAATGGTGTTGGGAAAATTGGACAGCCAGATGCAAAAGAATGAAACCAGACCATTATCTTAGACTATACATAAAACATAATTTTTAAAACACATTATAACAAGATTCATTTACATACAGAAATAAAAATAAAAAGAAGGAAAACTGGCTACTCTGAAATGTAATGAATGTGACATAGTGAAAGCATGATTAAAAATATAGTTTGTGGGTCACAGGAGAACACTAACTGTGCGACCCAGAGCAACCAGGAGCCTGCTCCATTCCGAGCCCCAGGACTTGCTGCCAAGGTGGCCTCAGCAACCCAGCACAGGCCACAGGGAGCACTGACTTTGCGACCCACAGCAACTCAGTGCCCGCTCCACCCCAAACCCCGGGAGTTGCTGCTGAAGCAACCTGGAGCAACTCAGCACATCCCACTCTGGCCTGGAACAGTGCTGCTGGGGCGACACAGAGCAACCTGACACGTGCCCCACTCTGGGTCACAGGACAGTGCAGCCGAGGCAACCTGGAGCAACCCAGTGTGCCCAGCCATGGGCCACAGGACCACGTTGCAAGTGCACTGCCAGTGGTACCTAGGGCGCCAGCCTGCAGCAGGTGCCAGGGCCTCACAGTGAATTGCATGCCAGAGGGCTTTGGGTCTTCAAAGGGAGTTGCACAATAGAGGAACTTTACACATGCCCCCGCCACCCCGAGCATCTGAAGCAGATAACTGAGGGACCAGATCTGTGGGAGAAGGGGATACAACTCAGAACAGAGACAATAAAGGTGTGAGACTCAAGGCAGGCCCAACCTCTGGGATGATGATTTCTGAAGCATTGGACCGATAGGGTCTTCAACCTCTCAGGCTCCAAGCAGAGTGCCCAAGACCAGAAAGAGAAAGCAAAATGAGGAGACAAAGAAACAACCCCCAAAGGAAAGGAAAGGGGGAAATCACTGGAAAAGGAACTAAATAAAATGGAGGCAAGCAATATGTCAGAGAAAGAATTCAGAGTAATGGTTATAAAGATGCTCAACCACCTGGATGAGATAATCACCAATATGTGTAGGAATCAAGAGAAAATAAAGAATGACATAGCTAAAATTACAACATAAAAAAAGGTTTTAATAGAAGACTAGAAGAAGCAGACGATCAAATCAGCGAGTTAAAAGATAGGGTAGAAAAAAACACTCAATCTGAACAGCAATTGGAAAAAAAAATTAAAAAGCAGGAGGACAGTTTAAAGGAGCTTTGGGACTACATGAAATGAAGCAACATCTGCATAATAGGGGTGCCAGAAGGACAAGAAGAGGAGCAAGGATTAGAAAACCTATTTGAAGAAATAATGACATAAAACTTCCCTGACTTGGGAAAAGTAAAGGTCACACAAGCAAAGAGAGTCCCAAAATAGATGAACCCAAAAAAACCCACACCAAGACACATCATAATTACAGCAGCTAATATTAATGACAAAGAAAAAATATTAAGAGCTGCAAGAAAGAGACAGAAAGTTACCTACAAGGGATCTCTCACTAGACTATCAAATGATTTCTCAACAGAAACACATCAGGCCAAAAGAGAATGAAATGAAGTATACAAAGTGATATAAAGTAAGGGACTAAATCCAAGAATACTTGATCCAGCCAGGCTATCTATCATTCAAAATTGAAGGGGAAATCACGAGCTCCGCAGATGAAAAAAGGCTAAGGGAGTTTATTACCACCAAGCCAGAAATGAAAGAAATGCTAAAAGGATGGTTGTAAAAAGAATAAATAGAAAGGGAAGAAGAAACACAAGTATAAAGAATAAAATGACAATAAACAAGTACCTACCAATAATAACCTTAAACATAAATGAATTAAATGCCTCAATCAAAAGATGTAGGGTGGATGAATGGATAAAAAAAGCATTATCCATATATATGCTGTCTACAAGAGAACCACCTCAGAAAAAAGGACTCACAAAGATGGAAAGTGAAGGGATGGAAAAATTTGTTTCAAGCAAATAGAAATGAAAAAAAAAAAAAAGCTGGGATAGCAATACTTAGACAAAATAGACCTCAAAGTGAAGGCCATAGAGATAAGGAAAGCCACTTCATAATAGTAAAGCGATTGATACAAGAGGATATAACTCCAGTAAACATATATGCACCCAATGCAGGAGCACCCAAATACATTAAAAAAAAAATTCAAAAAGATATCAAGGGAGAGATTGACAACAATAGAATCAGAGTAGGGGACTTTAATATCCCATTGACATTACTGAATAAATCTTCTATAAAAAAAATAAAAAAGAAACAGAAATTGATATCTTCAGAACATATTACCCCAAAGCTATGGAATATATACAATCTTCACAAGTGCACATGGGACATTTTCAAAGATAGGACACATATTAGGACGAAGGCTAAGTCTCTTCATATTCAAGAAGATAGAAATCATAACAAGCATCTTCTAAAATCACAATGGCATAAAATAAGAAATCAACTACAATAAAAAATCAAACACTTGCAGGTTAAATAGCATGCTATTAAACAATGATTGGATTACCAAAGAGATCAAAGAAGAAATAAAAAACATCCTGGAAACAAATAATAGTGAAAACACAACAATCCAAAATCTATGGGACACAATAAAAGCAGCCCTGAGAGGAAAATTAATAGCACTACAGGCCTACCTCAAAAAAACCCCAAGAAAAACAGGTAAAATATTATCTAACCCTACAACTTAAAGGATTAGAAAAAGAGCAACAAGAAAAGCCCAGAGTCAGTAGAAGGGATTAAATAATAAAGATCAGAGCAAAAGTAAATGACATAGAGACCCAAAAAACAGTACAAAAGATCAATAGAACCAAGAACTGGTTCTTTGAAATGATAAACAAGATTGATGAATGTCTGGCCAGGCTCATAAAGAAGCAAAGAGAGAGGACCCAAATCAATAAATGAAAAAGGTGAAGTAACAACCGACCCCACAGAAATACAAAGGATGTTAAAAAATATTATAAACAACTCTATTCCAACAAACTGGACAACCTAGATGAAATAGACATATTCTCAGGAAAATACAATCTTCAAAAACCCATTCAGGAAGAATCAGAATATCTGAATAGGCTAATAGCTACTGAGGAAATTGAAGCAGTAATAAAAAAACTTCCAGTAAATAAAACCCCTGGTCCAGACTGCTTCACAGGTGAATTTAACCAAACATTCAAAGAAAAATTAAAACCTACACTCATCAGACTATTCCAAAAAATTCAAGAGAAAGGGACATTTCTAACCTTCTTTCTATGAAGCCAGCATTATCCTGATCCCCAAACCAGATAAAGATGCTACCAAGAAAGAGAATTACAACCCAATATACCTAATGATCATAGATACTAAAATCCTCAACAAAATATTAGCAAATCACATCCAACAATACATTAAAAAGATCATATACCATGACCAAGTGGGATTTATTCTGGGTATGCAAGGCTGATACAAAATCTGCAAATCAATAAATGTGATACATCATATAAACAAATTGAAAGACAAAAATCATATGATCATATCAATTGATGCACAAAAACCATTTGACAAAATCCAACACCATTTCTTGATAAAACCCTCAGCAAAGTGGGAATAGAGGGATCATACCTAAACATAATAAAAGCCTTATATGATAAACCAACAGCCAATATCATACTCAATGTGCAAAAACTAGAATCATTTCCCCTAAGAACAGGAACAAGACAGGGATGCCCACTTTCATCACTCCTGTTTCACATAGCGCTGGATGTACTAGCCATAGCAATCAGACAAGAAGAAGAAATAAAAGGCATCCAAATTGGAAATGAAGAAGTAAAACTGTCATTATTCGCTTATTACATGATATTGTACATAAAACACTAATGACTCCATCAAAAAACTACTGGATTTAATAAGTGAATTTGGCAACATAGCAGGATACAAAATAACACCCAGAAATCTAAGGCATTTTTATACACCAATAATGAACTCATAGGAAGAGAAACTAAAACAAACAAACAACAACAACAGAAATCCCATTTACCACTGCACAAAAAAATTAAGATACTTAGGAATAAGCTTAACCTGTAAAAGATCTGTACTCGGAAAACTACCTAACGTTGAAAAAAGAGATAGAGGAAGTTATAAACAAGTGGAAGAATATATCATATTCATGGATTGGTAGAACCAACATCATTAAAATGTCCATACTACCCAAAGCAATCTATAGATTCAATGTACTCCCCTTTAAAATACCAATGGCATATTTCACAGACCTGGAGCAAACTCTCCAAAAATGTATATGGAATAAAAAAAGACCCTGAATAGCCACAGCAGTCCTGAGAAAGAAGATAAAAGTTGGAGGGATCACAATACCAGATATGAAGCTTTATTACAAAGCCACTGTTCTCAAAACTGCCTGGGCCGGGCACAAGAACAGACATATAGACCAATGGAACAGAACAGAGAACCAAGAAATCAACCCAAGCTATTATGCTCAATTAATATTTGACAAAGGAGGCAAGAGCATACAATGGAGTCAAG